GTTGCCGGCGCCGCCGCCCAACGCGTCCGCGAGGCGGCGCCGCCGACGCCATCGGATCCGGGCTGGCTCGTCGCGCCGCCGCGGTGGTTCGCGCGCCGCGTCGCGCGCCGTAGTTGCATAGCACAACACACCTTTAGAAAAGATCTGAATTTCGCTCCTCTCAGCCGTCGAGCTCGTTGAGCCCGTAGACGAGGGGAGGGGTCCGCGCGAGGAGCTTGTGGAGCGCGGTCTGGCGCTCCCGCATCATGCCGAGGTAGCGCACGAAGTAGGCGTCCGCGACGGTGCGGATCGACGTGTCGGGAACGTCCTCGGCGCGGTGCGACGCGAAGTCGTAGAAGATTTTGTCGACGTCGACTAAGAAGTCGCGCATGATCTCCGCGTCGAAGGCGGCCATGTTGGCGATGCCCTTCTGCGGCCCAAAGTCGCCGTTGATGGTCTCCTCCGCGCCGTCTTCGGCGTCGGAGTCGGCGGCGAAGTCGGCCTCGGGCGCGGCGACCGGGATCTCCGTGCGGTAGCTCGACGTCGCGGGCTTGCCCTCCGCGATCTCGGGCCGGGTCCGCTGCCCGAGCCCGAGGAGGCCGACGCCCGTGTGCCCGACGAGCACACGATGAAGGAGCTGTGCGCCGCTGACGACTGGCCGCACCGCGTCGAACTGCGCGCGCCCCTGGGAGACTTTGCCGACGCGGCGGCGGCGAGGGAGTGGTACGCGCAGCAGTTCGAGTCCATCAACCCGAAGTACCTCTACCGCTACGACCCCGAACAGTTCTCCGGACCGCCGCGGTTCTACACCGGCGACGAGGACCTGGACCTCGTCCAGCTCTTCACGGAGATCCGCGCGCGACGGATGGCGGATCAGACGTCGATGGCGCTCCTGCAGGTCACGTCGTCGTTGGGCGGCGCCAAGCCGCGCGCTTCCGGAGTCGAGCGGCGGCTGCGCAGCGTGCAGGCGCGCGCGACGGGGTCGCCCCTGCCGCGCGCTGACCAGGCCGTCGTCGACGCGACCGTCGCGAACCGGGCCTCGGAAGCGGCCGCGACGTATCGAGACCGCAGGGAGAACGGCGTCTTCGCTCTGGCCGGAGGTCCGAGCTCGACGCTGGAGCGCATCATGGCCTCTGCGCCCGAGCCGGCGGCGAAGAAGCAGAAGCGATGGAACACTACGTGGCTTTCGAAACCTTTCAGAGCGGCCATGGGCACGCTCAAGAACGTGTCCGCCAAGAACGTCCGGAACCACTTCGGAGGAATTTCGCGCTGGTTTTCCAAACGACTGTGCGACGCCGAGAGCAAGCGGCGCCGCCGCGCCGCCGCGCCGCCGCGGCCGCGCCGCCGCGCGCGCGTCTCCTGCCGAGATCCCTAAGCCCGAGTCCCGCGGCGCCCCGAGCCCCCGGGCGGGAGCCGTGCGCGCGTACTACCGGCGCTATTCGCGGGATTAGGCGTCGCGCGGCGCCCTGGCAGTGGCGCGCTGCACTCGTCTGGGCGCCCCAAGCCGCGCGTGCCGGCGCCCGGCCCGGCCCGGGGCCGCTGCGGAAGGCGCCGGGGCGCGGGAACCGCCGCCCCGGACCCCCGGACGCCATCGCGACGCAGCGCGACGGCCCCGAAGGTCGCGAAGGGCGTCTTCTCCGCGCCGGGCTCTCCGGCCCTCGCGGCCGTCCTCGCGCCGGCGGCGACGACTTCGGCCGCGCGGGCGCCGCCGGCGTTCGCGAGCCTCCGGTCCCCGCCGGCGATGACATCGAACGACGCGTTCCCGCGCCGCGCGTCGCTGCGGCGGACCGAGGCCGCGCGCGGCGGCCGCCCGCGGCGCCCGCGGACGTCGTCGCCGGCGCGCCGCGGGCTCCACCGGCGAGACGACGAGCAGCGAAGACACCTAGACGGCTCCGCGGTCGGCGCGCGAAGTGTGCCGAAAGGTCCGACGGCCCCGAAGTCTGCGCGGCGCCGTCGGGCGGAGGTAGGCGGCGCCGCGCGCCGCGGCTGCGATCCCGTTACTCGACGCGTCCGCGCGCGTCCGGGTGACCACGAACGTCGACGCCGCTTCGCAGCAACCTCGGCGGGGTCCTGGCGGACCGCCCGATATTCTTGGATCGGCAGGAGGCGGTCGCGGCGCCGAGAACGGCGGTCGCAAAGCCGATTACCTCAGGCGCCGGCGCTGGTTTGCGTAGTAGAGTATACTATTGTACCGCCGGCGGTGGCGGAGTTTTTAAAGGAGGCACGGACTTCTGTGCGCGGCCGAGCGGACGGCGGCCATGGCCGAGCTCGGGGCGACGGTCGTCGAGCGGGCCCCGACGCTGCTCTGTAACTTCACGGCACGGCCATGGTTGCCCCTTGCCGAAGAAACCTACACCTGGAGTGACGCGGTCATTGGAACTGCTTGCGTGCCGAGCACAATAGTCACCACCATCGTTGGTAGAGGCCCGATAATTGATGGTGCCGTTTCACACGACGGTCAGGGCCTGGGTGTTAGCGATGACGCAGGACGAGAGGATGCTTCGAGAGTTGCTGACAAGTCGATCCCGCCGGAACGAGAGCGAGTAGAAGTTCCTGACAAGGCTTTGTGCTCAGCAAAAAGTAGTCTGGGTGCATTCGACTTAGAGGCGACCGAGAAATTCAAAGACGACGCAGCTGACTCAACAGAGCC